CCCCTCCCACACACTTAGAATTAGACAATATCTCCATTGTCGATCCGAAGTACATGAGAGTTACACTACATAATCAATCGACTCGAGAATAAAACGAACTGTACAAAAAGAAAGAGAAAGGGAAATAAAGACGTACAAAGCACAGTGACAAGTCACTGTGCGTCCGATGGTGGTGGCTGAGAAGGGTCGCTGCTCCCTGCACTCCAACGGGTATCCCATTGGCTAAAACGGGAATCCCAAGTGCTCCACTGCTGGTATTGCTGCTCCGCCCAGGTGTTCCATCGACTGTCATGGGTCGTCTAGTGCACTACATTGTTCTGCGCGAACTCGTTCCACTGTCTGGTCTGCTCTATCCAACGCTCGTTGTTGGACTCTACGAACGACGTCCAACGTGCATCGTTGTTCTTCACGAATGATGTCCAACGTGCGTCGTTCTGCTTGGTGAAAGCTGTCCAACTGGCATCATTCCGAGCCTCGTACTCTGAAAACCAAACTGAACAGCCAACTGGAAGACGCGCCTGTGTGCTCGTCCATCGATGGGGGAGGCTGAATGGTGTCGTGAGTGATGGTCGTCGGCCTCAGGGTCCTCTCTGTCTCTGTCATGAATGGCCGTTGGACCAGGACCGGTTGACGTACCGGCTGCCATCTGAGATGTGGATGTAGGTGGAGGAGAAGGCAAATCGTTTTCCTTGCAGTAAGTCTTGTAAGCTGGCCGATGGTAAACGAGGCGCACATGAGTGTCATCAATAAGGAAGTCAGCGCGGTATAGATCTTTTTGCGAAAACCACTTGGCTAGGACTTTGGGCTCGTCAACTTGAACTCCAAAGTGGTCGGCCAACTTCGTCACTACATGCCCCAAAGTCGGACCACGTCGCGACTCGTTGCGGATGTCATAAAGGGACTCCTTGAGGTAATGAAGCATGCTCACCGGTTTATCGTGCGCAATTGACCATAGGATGAACACCTGCTCTGCACTCACCTTGTTGGACTCTTTCTTCCCGAAGATCATGTGGGAGATGTATTGCAAAATCACAACGTGAGCCAAGTCAGTGATTAAGCCCGTAGACGTCCCCAGATTTATTGAATTTTTCGCATGGAGAGATGAGTGCCCAATACGGGTCGGCCCTAAAACCCTTGTGGGCTGTGACGAGTAGCAATGTGGTGTCGAATTTATATATGTAGTCTGTCCGTGATTTTGTACTCATTGCCTTTCATCCGAGCAGTAAGGTACTTGCCGCTGTCGTTCATGGCGACTGTGCTAAAAAATTCCAAGTTCAAGTTCTGGTAAGCATAAGCCGGCATGTCCTCGAATTCCTCGAGGTCGAGTAGTTTGAGGTAGCGGTGGAGATCGGTACCAATCTCAAGCTCGTCATTGAAGTAGTCTGTAATACCCCGTTTGATGATGGATTATTTGAGATTAATTATTTTGCATTATTGTTATTATTATTTATATTTAATGTCTAATTGCCTAATTGATAATTGATGTTATTATTGTTATTATTATTATTATTTGTGCTAAATGCCTAAATGTTATTAAATGTATAAATGCATATTACTATTATTAAATAAATGTCATTTTATATTATTTGAGCCTTGGCTGGTGATCGTCGTTGTAAGTCCAAGGCGAAAGTCTTCGCAATCAGGGTGGATTTACTCCTGCTGGCCGGGCACTCGTTGTAAGACCTTAGATAAGGCGTTAGGTATATAGTCAGGCAGTAGTCTATTGCTATAGGTGTGCACATGAGACGATTATTTATTATTGATAGGAGATGGTACGATTATTAATTCGTGTACATGATGCGACCATACCTTTACTGTTTATTGATTTTTAACTAATGATTCTTAACTAAAGCAATTTAAATGTCACAACTTGTAAATGCAATTCAAAGAGATATAAACGGCTAGGATATCGGGGATAATCGCTTCCGATTCTACACTCATTTAACGGCAATCAACAACTTGGTTAAAAGGCTCGACTAACTAACTCATTTAGTGGTTTAACCTCACTAACTCTCGTAATATGT